TAGTCTACTTTAGTGATGATACATTAGTTAGTCGTAAAAAATTTTCAGTGGAGAGTTTGCCGCGACAAATTGGCGACCAAATTTTTTTGTCGCAAAAAACTTTTAGTGGTGAATTATTCACTTTTAGCGACAACTTTTTTTGCCACTAAAAACATTTTATTGTAGTGTGTAGTTCTGACATTTACTTTCTTGTGCAATTACACATCAAGTTATGTTATTCAGCATAGGGCTCCCTCATAGGTCTTATTTCTTGAGCGAACACATTTTTTGGTCCCTTCTCGGGTATTTGGTTGTACATGTTTTATTCAGGATCAGTATCCCACTTGTTGTAAGCTTTACAATACAGTTATTGGTTGTGTCTTTGTGGGCTACTGTCAACAGTCTAAGGGATATCGGTGTTATGATCCAATCTAGTGTCGTATATATCACAATCTAGATGTTACCTTTCTTGAGCATGTACCTTATTTTTATGTTTTTAGTCCTATGTCTGCATCACCAATTGATGATACTCCATTTGATTTTTCTTTACCATCGGAGCCACTAGTCACTGTCACTACAGAGTTGTCAATTACACATGATATCCTATTGTCTCCTCCTTTCTCATCCCCCTACTGATATCCCTTCTACTTCAGGAGAAGGTAAGATTTCTCAGTTAGCTGAGCATATTGTTGAGCCTGTTGTTAGCACTTATGAGACTGCAAGTGTTGAGACTGATGAAATTACAGGTGTTGATGTTGTTGCATTAGGTGATTTATCTAAAGAGACTATGTTTGTGGAGGATGATGATTCATGGCGTCGTTATCCTCGTCGTGACCGCCGGCTAGTTGTTTGTTATGGTTGGGCCACCAGGGCTTTATATCCAATCTCAAGTTATGTCTCTTATACTGAGCAGTCTCCTACATTTTGGGCTTATAGTATGCCATTATCAGATACACCAATTCCACACTTTGTTTCAAAGGATATGCAAGAGCCTCAATGGGTTCTTGCTATACAGACAGAGATGGACACTCTTCAATGTAACCATACATGGAATCTTGTTTCTTTATCTTCAGGGATGAAGCTTGTTGGCTTTCGCTGGGTTTACACCCTGAAGTTTCTTGCAGATGGTACTACTGATTGTTACAAGGCTAAGCTTGTGGCGAAAGGCTTTACTCAAGTTTTAGGTCACAATTTTGGAGCTACCTTTACCCTGGTGGCAAAGTTGTCTATAGTTCATTTGATTACCGCTCTGGCTACCTCGTATTGTTGGCTCTTTTATCAGTTAGATGTGAAGAATGTGTTTCTTCACGATGACCTAGACGAGACTATTTATATGGATGCACCATCTGACTTTCGTGGTGAAGGAGAGTATGCTGGGAAGGTGTGTCGACTACATAAGTCTCTTTATGGACTGAAACAATCACCATGAGCCTTGTTCTCTCAGTTTAGTAGTGTGGTTATATGCTTCAGCTTTACCATATGTCATTCTGATCATACATGCTTCATTCGACAGAATACTGTTGAGTAGTGTGTCATTCTCTTGGTATATGTAGATGATGTTATTATTAGTGGGGATGACATTTCTGGGATTACATAGGTCAAGGTTGACCTTGGGAAGGCATTTGATATGAAGGACCTTGGATTTCTATAGTACTTTCTTGGGATGAAGGTTGCATGTAGCAGTGGGGTCTTGTTATCTCTCAAAGAAAGTACGTTCTGGATCTTCTCTCAGACGTTGGAATGTTGTGGTGCAAAACTACATCATCACCTATGATTCCAAACTTGAAGCTTACTGTTGATGGTGAGGAATTGAGAGATCCGACTATTTATTAGAGGCTGGTAGGTAGGTTTATCTACCTAGCCAACACTAAGCTAGACATTTCATTTGTCATTAGTCGGGTCAACAATTCATGCACAAGTCATGTCAGTCTCATTTGGATGAGGCATATCATACTCTTCGGTACCTCAAGTCTTGTCCTGGACTTGGGTTGTTATATGCATTGGAGTCACAGACTGATTCTCTAGCCTGTTATTCAAATTCAGATTACGGTAAAGTTTGTGACGGTCGATCTACTACGGATTTCTGTGCTTTTCGAGGGACTCTTTTTATCTCTTGGAAGACCAAAAAGTAGGCAGTTGTCTCTCGTTCATTAGCAGAGGCAGAATATCGGGCACTAAACTAGGCACATGTAAAATTATCTGGCTATGGTCTTTTCTTGGCAAGTTGGGATTTTCAGTGACTTCTCCATCTACATTATATTATAATAATCGATTAGCTATTTAGCTCACTTCTGACTCTGTACAATACGAGAGGATAAAGCATATAGAGATCGATATTCACTTTTTTCAGGAGAAGGTCAGCTGCGGCATTGTTAACCCATCGTTTGTGGGGACTAATGATCAGGTTGCGGATTTCTTTACTAGACTTGTCACTCTATCCATTTTTCGGGTCTCTATTGTCAAGCTTAGATTGATTGACATCTTTGCGCCTAACTTGAGGAGGAGTGTTGGAGTTATAGCCTAGTTATTAGGATATTTAGGTTTTTATCTATTTTGTCCTTACTATGATTTTTATGCCTTACCCAAACTAGAGGGGTATTCTAGTTAGTTGTACTCTTATTTTTGCTATATATATATAAGGTTCTACACTCAGTTTGTGCATCTTTTTTACTCCCAACAATTCTAGTATCCCGATCCGATTCTTGGGTAATTTCCGCAACACTTTGAAGCTAGGCTGAATCTAATGTTTATATATATGGATATCTTGTAATATTGTTTGGATGCTCAATTTTAAGTCTTTCTTTCCACTTCTACTCTTTGCCATAAATAGTCCAACGACTGTGTTCTTTTATTGCTGCCTTTTATTGTGTTGGAACTATTGGAGTGGCTATTGGTTGATGCATCGTGTGTTTTGTTTCATAGATCTTGTATGAAAATAGGATTTTTACATGCGTTCGGGCATGCTGGAATACTCTCGTGTCGATCATTTGCAAGAATTGAACAGGGATTGAGGCTAAAATTTGTATGATTGTGCCCATGAATTTTCCAACTGTTTGTGTCAATATTTATGAGATAAAGGCCACAATTTTGGTTACATAGTAAATAATTCAACGAACGACTGAGAGGTTTATGCTTTTCAAGACATTGTTTTCTACACGAACAAGTTCCAGTTTTAATTTAGACTAATTTGTGCATACGATCCAAGTAACAAATGTCCAAGTTTCCTTTGGATCTCAATTCCAATATGATCCCCATGCTTCATTAGCCCATACTGCTCCGGAAAGAATGTGTTTCTTGCTTTGCCCGCTATCCGTCATCCCATTCACTTTGTCCAGGCTGGTAAGGAGAGAAAGGGACACCTGGGGGAGATGAAGTAGAACCAATTGAAGTAGATGTTTCAGGAGTTCATTGAAGCTTACGGACTTTATTCTACTTGAGTTTAGTGAGTGGGTTCTGTTGTGGATGGGGATGGATGCCCTTAAGCAATAGTAGTGTAAAAAATAACACGTTGCATCTGCATTCTTCACAATTGAGTTTTAGATCATCTTTAAACTTTTGAGTACTAGCAAATTTGTTTCAAAACTTTCCTTTTAGATGATTATAGATCCTCTGATTGTCGTTTACTCAGACAAACCTGAGATTGAGTAAGGTAAAAGACAGTCATATTGTACTTCCACCCCCCCCCCCCC